AGACAGGCCATCATCAGGTGATTCCTGAGGAAATACACATATTGCAATGGCCTACATAACAACTACAGTGCTAGTAAGAAACATTTTCTTTGATAGTTACAATTGGTTGGATCCCACATAATACTAAATGCACTTCAGAGTTTAGATTATGATAAAAAAATTATGTTAAAACAACATAAAGGGAAACTCCCTACAAGATGTGGTTATGAAGCTGGTTTGGTGTTCATCACATCTTCATGTTATTATGCAGCATTTCTGTTTATGTCCTTTGTGGAGGATTGCTTCTAGTGGCCATTCTGTCTACTATTGCTTTGGGGTGGGCTGGGGTGTAAAAGTAAATGTATGTAGTAGTTCTCTGTGGTGAAATTTTTGTCTAATCATACAGGTACCAAGAATTAACGAAACTCAAATATTGAACTTCTGTTCTGATTTAGGAAAAATAAAACCTAAAGGCCATTTTATACAAAAAAATACACCACATTACAGAAATACTGAAAATCATCAGCTAAGAAATATGGCACAGTTATGGAAAATACTGAATGAACTGAATAAGGGCACAACTTGTAAGACATCAAAAAAGTTCCTAGTTCTATTCAAAGGTTTGTAAAAATAATTAACAAAATCAATGGAAAGCAAGGCACAATGCTGCAGTAACATATACTGACCCTCCCCCTCCTTCCAAATTGTACTCATTATGTTGTTGGTATGCTGTCAGGATGATTAAATCTAGGATGACTAGGTAAGACATTAGCAGGAAGAAAGGAAACACTGTATAAACTGTTACAAAAACTTCTTTTTCAGCTTTGTATATAGCAATAATTTAAAGGAATTTTACCTTGTTATCCAGATATTTAGGCCTAACTGAACTGTTTAAACTGTGAGAATGTATGATGCTTTTAAAATGTTCACATATTTGTAAGTGACTGTACTTCACAGTATGAATAATGATGACAGAAGCAACATAAAAGATACATTTAAGTTTACAAAATTCCATCCAGTATTAACTTTCACACATGCTTCTCAGCACATCATTTTCAAATTTCAAGTTGTAATCTATCCCTCCATCAGATCAGACATTTACACAGTGGAGTTGCCCATCAAATAGTATCAAATATTAAATAACATACAACATAACAACGGGCCTCCAAACACCACATCAGCCATTGTGTATATAATATGTCCGTATAAACATTACATATATTACAATTACAACTGCCAACTTCCAAATACCATCACAGATACAACTTCTAACTATACTTTTGACTATGTAACTGGTTATTTTAAGACTTCGTAATTTATATTTTATATTCACTCATATCATTTTATACCGTTGTATACACTTGGGAGTTTAGCACTGTATCCTATATTTGACATGAAATTCAATAAAAAAGTTTAATGTATTTGCCTGATGATGGCCTGAAGACCGAAACATGTAACAAAAACATCTCCTAGAGCTACTTACACATATTATTGATTGTTGTTGTGTTGTGACGGTTTTCAGTAAGAAATAATAGAAATTCATATTTCTCATAAGAAACACTGTCCACACTAAGATTTTCTTGATCAGGATATCTGCCTGTGTAAAGTATGGCCTCTATACAAAAGGTCTCAAGTATGAGCCTGACCAGATTCATTATGCACACTTTTTTTATCTTCCTTCACCACTGACAAAGATAAATGTTTTGTACATGAGCATTTCACCTAACGTGATCATGATTCAGAGCCTTAACTAAGCTGTGGGTATCTTCTATCAACCATCATCCTATTATTACATCCAGCAGTCTGGCACAGAAGTGCTCCCACAATTATTAAAGCAGAGACCAAAAGGCTGCAGGCATCAGTCACAACAGATACTCCTAGCCTAACAGAACTTCTTCAGAGATGGGGAAGTACCAGAGGATAGCTGAATCAGTAAAATGACTGGCTACAGGCTGGACAAACAGACTCAATTCCAAGCAAGGACCGTGATTTTTCTCTTTAGCACTACCAGATTAGCTTTGGGGTCGAGTGCAACTTCCTACCTCATATGGAAATTGGACTCTAGAGTGAAAATGAACATTCCATTTAGTTGCTCTACAGAATGTAAAACACTTAAGTCTGTGTTCCCAAACACTACCATGGCATAGTGTTTAAGGAAGGAAACAGCTTTAAATGTGTGGCCATTTTCTCCTGTGTAACAAACAAGAATGTGCCAGATATTTGGAAAGAACTGAAATACTGGTGCTTGCTACTGCAGTTAGATACTGAGGACTGTGATCTAGAGTTGCATGTTATTTGTGGCACAGGCAATGAAGATGCATAATTGCTAAGTCAATGTAGGCCAAGAAGGCAGGTGTATGTGCAGTATTCCAAGCAGAAAAATACTGAACACTGGGAGATCAGGCAACAGTTTGATTTGTAAATTTCAAAGATTCCCTAATCTGCACATTTTGTGTCTGTCACTGTAATTCCCTTAAGCCTGATTCCCTGCCAGAGCTCTCTATACTATGTGACAGACTGGCCAGATCTGTGTTATGCCCTTAAGGAGAGGTCACATGAAGGAAATACTAGCATGCAAAATAAATGTCAATGTAATTTGATACTAGGAGTCTATCTCAAAATCTGTCAGGATGATCAAATTGCCTTCTGTTGGCAACAATTAAAAATATAAAGGTTAGGTTAACTAACTCCATGGCGCTGAGCCCTTCTTGAGAAACTACCAGTTGCTCAGCCATTCAAGAATTTCACAACAGTTTACAGAACCTGAATTTTCATTACCATGTTCACAGGTGCCCCCCACTTATCCCTATCTTGAGCCAGATCAATCCAGTCCATACCACCCCATCCATTTAACAAAAATTGCTGGTTTTCCTCTGTGTTGGCAGAATGGACAGCACTTACCTTACAGGTCTGAGTATTACAATGCAAGGGGTTAATTATGCCATTTCAAGCAACATGGCAGACAGGTATCGATTTGAAGCAATTATGGATTATCTGCAGGTTCTGTCCTGAGATTTGTTTGAGACGCTGAGAAACCCATCAGCGATGTACCAAGTATATCCTGGATAGAGCACTACTGCTACATCAGTCTGCTTCAAGCTATCTGTTACTTGATTTAACATCTCTGATTAGTAAGACTGTAAATCAGAAAGGAATTGGTCATGGCCTGTTTTTAAAGCCCCACCCTGGCACTGGCCTAGATAGAAGGGAAAACTATAATTCAGAGGTTTTATGCGCTGCACAGTAGGATAACTGCAACTGGACTGGAGGGAACCAGTCATGGACCATTTTAAGTTACTACTTCAGCACCTGCATGGAGAGGATAAAGAAACCTCTAGAATCTCAAGACAGTCAGTAACTGGGTCAATATTCAAACCTGAGAGCTCCTGATATAAGGTGGAAGTGCTAACAGCCATGGGGCGATATTTGGTGCTGTAGCACTGAGCCACTTGACTCAGTAGGTAAGCAGAATGTCTTTCAGGCTGTTGAGTGCAAGTGCTACAGCCTCCATTTTACTTCACAGTATTACCTAATTCTTACATTTTGTAACTTTCATCTGTTGAACTCCCCCAAAGTATTCATAATAAAATGTAAGCTAATTATAAATAAGGCAGGTTTTGCTAACCTGTGAAAATCCAAACTGGCTAGTGCTTACAGCTTGGCCTTCTATTGCATGCCACTTGTATTTTATACAAATATGTGCAAGATATGTGCAGACCATTTGATTATCCACATTTTCTGCTTCCATTAATCTGGGAGGTCACTCCTGAAAGTTCAGTTTTTACAAAACAATCTGTAGCAACAATATAAAGGTACTATGAGCCAGTGTTGAGCCATGGAATATGTTACAAATAAAAGATCTAAAATCTGACTAGGGTCCTAGTAAGGATCTGGAAATATTATTTACATTTAAAAAATACATTCTGTAATATACAAAATCATACAAGACCAGAACCAGCCATACTTCTTCATGTGTTAACATAAGGCTTACTATGTTACAATGAAATGTCTGGTTAAAAGTGCTGCAACATACAGTTCAGTGAGGAACTGCAGAGCACTAGAAATGGTGTTACAGTTAGAAATGTACTACAATTCTGTTATTTTTGAGGCAGGGAGTTTGAAGAACCTACTTCCAATCAATGTGTGCTTTCAATTTCAAGTGTTATTGTTTTGTACATTGTATGCAAAACACATCTAACCAGTGGCTCCAAAACAAGGGCCTGCAAGCCACTTGAAGGGACCCAAAATGATTCGGACAATTCACCCCCTCCTCCCTCTCAATTATCTATATCAATTTTATGCAAATTCACACAAAATAATAATAATAACAACAACAATAATAATAATAATAATACAGCATTTTTCTCCTATTTATTTGTTTCATAAAGTGTTTTTTTCTATAAAATGTTCCAGCTGAATCAGAAAGGAAATGAGTGTGAAACAACATATACAGATTTAACTGTATAGGGATGGGCCAGGTAAAGTGCACTATTGAAAGAGAAAGGGACATACAAGGCAGAGCTTCTCAGAGGAACAAAAATGCAGATTTGCATGTAGGTTTACAGAGTGACTTTTATATAAGGGGTTCATGCTTTAATAATGTCTGTGGACCACTGGTCCCAGTATGACATAGCCTACTGCATGTTTCCAATCACATCATACTCAGATTCATTACTGGAAGAAATGAGAAGAATGACCTCGTGGGTATAATTTTTACTTTCTTCCCTTGTTGTCTGATTAATATCATTTCCTAACATGGACATTAACCATCTCCAATTTGTCTTAATTTTAAAAGCAAACCAGTATAAAACTTATCTGGAGACAAATTATGTCAGATGCCAGCAATCAGCAGTTAGGAACCTAAAGAATTTTGAATAATACGTAACAATTATCTCATCTCTTGGCGTACTGTGTTACATATTCTCGTACTGTGCTCTGGAAGGCTTCTTTATCCTTGAGGTAAAGTTCTGCCGCTTCAATGTTCAGGGGATCATCAAAATTCAATAGGTCCTGCAATTTGGACAGGAAACCCATTAATTATGAAATACAAATACACCAATAAAGCCTTTAATCTTAATAAGAAAGTATTCCTTGTAATTTATAAACACATTCTTGGGAAACAATATTGTCTGAACATGTTTGTGGGCATAGGTTTATTAAATAAAATGTCCACTATGACGTTAATATTATATTCCAGGGGACAGCCTGATATAAATTTGATTCACAATTTACTGTCTAACAATGGAAGAAGCGTCAAGTGTTACAGTGAACTGGCTAACACAACTTCATCATATGCAGGTATGAACATGGTTCATATCTCAGCCCAGACACCCAATGACTCAGGGTTCATGGTTTTCCCCAGTTGCACACTATTGTTGTAGTACCTTAAGATGGTCATAAATGTATACTTCCATACCCTTTGGAACTTATTCATTTCCCATTATTTCTTATTTAGTGCTAATATAAGTAATGTAAGGTGGGACACCAGTTTATGGGTTTAGCTGCAGCATACACTGAGGCTGTTTCAGTTGCTGTCTTCACAGTGAATGAAGGAAGAAGTGTACTAATGCACAGTAAGCGAGTGGGGGTGTGTAGCATGGTGCTTCAAAAGGGAGGGGACTGGACACAAAATGTATACTGGTCAAACCAGCCATTACAACTCCCCTAGAATATAAGAACATGTTACAAACATCAGACCAGAAAAACAGTGATCAGCTGAACACTTCACTGACACCAAACACAGCATCAGCTTTGATGTAAGTGAAGCCCTAGCAATCATACACACTTAACCTCCCATGCAATATCAGGGAAGCCACCAAAACAGTCAAACTCCCCTCACAACTTAACTGTGAAGATGGATATAAAGTGAGTGAAGTCTGCTTTCACATCTTCCTTGACACCTTTTCCTAACCATAAATCCTTTCCCTTTACTGAGCATCATGCTTTACACCCCTACCTCAACTTCCACTGCAAGATCTTGGGCCCACTTCCTTCTCCTATCTCCATTCACCCTGAAGATGGTAACCACAATGTAGAATAAAATGGAACAGCTAACATATCATGCAGCTAAACCCTGAATGCTGAAGTTACACATTAGACACAAGCTACAAAAACCTAGGGACAAACATAAGTAATGTACTTTATAAAGCACAATTAAATTAACCCTTTCCAGTCAAACGTCAATATATAATCAACATGGTGACCGTGCTTCCATGGAAAAATGTTGATATACTATAAACAAAGTTTGTTTCATGCTTCTGCGGTCATATTTCAATCACATGTCACTAGTTTGCACTGTAGACTATACCAACATGTGCATGAATGTTTTGTCTGCCACCTTCTGCCATCTGGAAGTCAAAATTTGAACTTCTGGATGAACCAATGCCATTTATATATTATGGCATGTCATGTGTTAGTAGCATGCTTTTACGTTCAGCTGAACCACAGCACTCTGGATTGAAGAAACTAGATATAATCCCTTGTGTGCTGCAGGTGAAGAATCTAGTAGTGATATGTTAAGTGAAGAACCCGATATTGACAATGATGATGAGATTAATTTGAAAATTGAAGGAGAAACTGTGACTGAAGACTCAAGCAACAAAATGTGGGGAAGTGAGAGTAACAGCAAACAAGTGTTACTGTGTGTTGGTGGGTGGGAAGACATGACAATGGGCAATGATGCCACTGAATAAAGTAATCAGGCCATCAGAAACACAAGAAACTACATGGGGTGATAAACATATAGAGAAACAATTTCAGAAAAAATGTTGTGCCTGGAAGAAACATTGTAATAGATGAATCAACAGTTAGGTTAAAGCACAAAATAATTTTCAAAACTTATAATAAATAATAAAAAAAACAATGAAGTGGGTCATCAGATTATTTGTATTAGCTGAATGTGAAACCTGTTACATTTAGAGCATAATTCCAAATTATGGAATATTTACAGGCAAACTATGTAACTTACCATATTCTGAAAAACTGTTCATTTCAAGAATAGAATGATAATTGGATGCAGTTCAGCAGCTTAAAGCCGAACACTGTACACCTGATGATGGCCTGATATAGGTGCCGAAATGTGTCGCATCCATAAAAGCTTTAATAAAACAAATGTCGATACAGTAGAGTCTTCTTTGTTTTAAAATACAGAGTGTTGTTGTGTAGATGGTATATTCTTGTATGCTTTATATCTTATGTGAGACACACAACAGGATGCAAACTATTAAGATTCAAGAATAGTTTTTTCCTTGATGGACAGACTATGACTCATTGTGTCTGGTACTGAAGACTATCACCATACTATCACCATTTCATTGTCAGATGCTACAGCAGTGTTGAGTTGGCCCAAGAATTGGACAATCGAAAATGTAAGTACACATTTGGCTTCTTAAATTTATGCCCTTTTTGCACCAACTTTTTGGGCAAAACAGTTCACTGAGTGGTTCGGCAGGCATTTAAAAACTACTGATGACCTGGCTGCAGAAATTTTTCTAAACGCAATGACTGGAAAGGGTTAACTGCACCTCCCTTAATGTGACATTTTGTTCATTATTTACAAGCTTTGATCCTCTAAGAGAAATGCATGTGGTGGAACATAGAGTCTCCATGCGGTTCCAGATTCCTAGAGGAAACTGCTGTAATCTTTTCTTAACCAAATGCAAATTAAATGAATATTCATATAATTTACAAGCATCTATCACATTGTTTCTTTTTCACCTTATGATGTTGTGTCACCTTCCTAAATTATGAACACTGATCTGAGTAGACACTCTATCTAGATCACTGTACGTAACTATTTCTGGTTTTAACAAAGTGGCCATGAACAATTTTAAGTAGTGACCCAGCAAATGTGCTGGGACTGAGGACAATTACAAAAAAAAATTAGTGATCCAATCAAGATTCAAACATCACAAATATGAAGCGGAGGGCTGACCACTACACCATTATGTGTGATTCATCACATCAGGCTCTTCCAGGAAGCACTGGAGTGTGGCTGAAATACAATGATTTCTTTGGCTAATTTAAATAACAACAACAGAATTATTACCACTAGGTTAAGTTCTGTAACAAGAGCACTACAGAAAGTAGTGATGTCACTGAATTACCTCCCTTCAACATTGTCTCCTGTCTTGGAATGGTTTCTTTGTGATAAAGGGATGATTCCTAAATTGTACCTTAATTTCAAGGACTGCTTTAACATCTACAAACCAGTTTAATTTTTGTAACACAAATACAGTCCCTTGCAGATTTATTTGCTTACATAAATTAAAACAACACATTCAGGATTCCTTCTGTAGTTCACACATCCATGCACGTGTACATGCAGGTACTGAATGCTTCAGAATTCACCAAAGATAAAAACAGTGCCATCATTTTCTAGGCCACTGTTATTTTTGATTGACTGTTGAAAAAAGAAACAAGGAACAAAGGTGGGTCACTGGAAGAATGGTAGTTATTTAAAATGGGACTAGTAACAGCAATAATAGTATGTGGAGAAACAGCATTAAATAAATGGTAAGAAGGAAAATGAGACATGATGAAACTGGTCTAAAGGCTGAAGTAAAGAAAATAAGCAAATATAGAAAATAATTGTGGGGGTAGGGGAGAGTATGGAAAATGATCAGATTTGCAGAAAAAGAGGTCATGGCTAAAATTCATGAATGTTCTAGAAAAAGTTGTATTACAGACAAGAGATTAATCTACAGAGAACTATAACAAGGCAGGTCAAGGACAGGTAAGGTGGAAAGAAAGAGGCATTAGATGGATGAAAGAGACTGGAAGAAACAGAAGCAAGGGAAAGGACAGGAGGATGACTCAAAATGGAAGAGAATGAAGAAATTAATATTTAAGGAAGAATTGCTGAAAAGTACCTATAAATAAGTTTACATGATGATCCTGACATTTTGATTTCTGAAGGACAGTTCATGGCAAAATAATTTAACTGCAAGAGAGCTCAAATCTGAGCTCAACCATGTCATACACAAACTCAGTGTAACTTACAGTGAAGAGGGAGTTGAGACCCCAGATTATGTCTTTGAGCTTCCTGGTTGGTGCCCATCCCATTCCATCAATAGAGTTCTGACGTAACAAACTCAAGCAGATATCGCCATGTTCACTGATGTTGGGATGCCATAGCTTTGTCAGGCACTTCACTGATGGTGGCTATATGCAAAAACATCTAACTTATCCAGTATTTGAAACAAATTAAGTTTAAAATGTAATTTCAGGAGACATAAATGGATCACTCCATGGGGTGAAGTACACACACAGGCAAGTTGTTTTCACTATCTCTGTTTAGCGTTACTGATGAGAATGGTGATTTACTGCACTTATCTGGCAGATAATTTGTAGCTATTAGATACTTATTTAAATACTTTATTGGGTCTGTTACAATTCACATTTTGATTTGTTAACTATTATAATCAGCCAGGAGAGGAAGACTTTGAGATAAGATGCTAAGTACATACACATGATCAGTAACATAGGAGGCAGAGATTACCAACAGAGTGTAATAATGGGACTGCTGATGTTGCAAACAGGCAAGTAGACGGCAGTAAAAACATTTTCCTATCAGAGGGCTATTATGCCACATGTATATAAGGAGATAAGATAATAATTTGAGGTATTATGACACCTTTCAATCAGGTAATCATCAGTGAGTGTGATCAGTTTCATTGTAGGAAAATACTGGGAAAAATTCTGGCTGGTGAACACTTGCTGAAAAGAAGCTTTAATTAGATCCCTAATTGGCAAAACTTTTGTTGTATAACACGTGACAGACATGAACTGGCAATGAAGAAATCAGTCTTCTGAAAACCTCAAATCTTACATGAACTGGCAAATTTTGTTATTCCATACTAAAACAACAAAGTATTAACGTAACCTAACAATAAAGATAAGCTCTCCCTGTACTTAATTATGTCATGAAGATATATGGGGAAGTGGGGGTATAGCTCCATTTTTCTTGTCCTAGATGGTAGTGAGCGGTCAGCTACACACCCCTGCCACTTTACCCCCTGCAGAAAGAATCTCCCAATACCCATTGCACAACAGGCCAGGTGTGCCCCAGAGTAAGTCTGGATGCTGTGGAGATGAAAATCTTGCACAGCCAGGAATCAAACCCAGCCCATAACTATAGTGAAGGAGCTACCCAAAATCAAATCCCTAATTAAAGCATTAAATTCACCTAATGTAACTTTGCCCAAACTGACTATGGTGAATTTTATTTCACCATAATAAAACCCCACATAAACCACTAATCTAACAAAAAGTGAAATGACAATGAAAGTGTCAGCCTAACCCAATTCCTTTAGTTATGAAGCTTGACCTTCACTGTGAAATACATCAGAGGACAGGGACAGTCTTCAGCAGAAGCCTTCAGTTGTTATTTCTGTTCTCAGCAGTACAGTACAGCCAAGGAAAACAAGCAGTTTGAAAACCCTTCTGGTGGTAAATAAACAAGGTGGGAGAATTATACATAATACATAATGCATGTAATACAGCTTTTAAATGCCAAGCCCAAGTCAAAGAACCTATAACTGCTCTGCTACAGCTCAGAAAAGACTGGCATAAGCATGTGCTGTGGGAAGAAGTATGGCTGTACTATGCAGTGAAACAAGCACCAGAATTCCAAAGGAAATGTGACTTAATCCTCTCATAAAGGAAAGTCTAGTACAGATACTGATGACTTTCATAAAAACGTTTTTAAGGTAAACACTGACATCATCAGCAAAAACTGCTGTGGTATGTAGAACCAGGCAGGATTTCCAGAACACAAAACAGATTTCTTATGAATTGTCTGTGACATAGGTTTCCAATATAAGACAATGAAAGATGGATGGAGGATAGTACTCAAACAGAGCAACACTGCTGCTACTCAAACAATATTCCTGTGGAGGAGGAAGACGACGGAGAATTAAGGAAGGCTTATTCTATACCTTGATGAAACCTGAATTAATTAAAACCATGATTTCCTTAAATATTGGCAAGAGTCTGAAGGGAATGGCGCTCTGAAAGTATCTACTGAAAAAATGCATGTAATTACTTTACATGGGGAATTTGCACAAATTGGATTTATTAAGGAGTAACTGGTATTCAGGCTGAAGCAAGAAATCAGCAATAATGGATTACCATACATACATGAATGAAAAAGTATCCAAAACCTGGTTCATGAAACTTCAGGATAGCCTACATGAGCAACAGTGAAAAAATACGGTGATCATAACGGACAATGCCGTCTATCACTCCATTTGTCTTAATATGGCTGACCATAAGCTCAAAAGAACATGAAATTATTAACTGCCTACAAAAGAACGTTTGCTATGACCCATGTCACACCAGGAATAAACTCCTCATGCTTACTCATACCATCAAACCAATAAACAAATGCTATAAGCTTGATAAGACTGCATACTCCATAGGACTCACAGTAATGCCTCCCACCACAGTTCAACAAAGTTCATTTGGGCCCAAGTTAAGTATTGTCACATGTATTAGTGACTACAGATGTGGATCCACTCCCCATATGCCTTAGTTAAGCACAGGGACAACTTTAGCATTTTATTACTGACTATAGATGGGGTTTGGATTGGTGAATAGATTTAGTAACACCTTATACAGTCAGGTCATACTTACAAGCAATACAGCACTATCACTGATTTACACAATTTACAATTCACCGTTACATACACACTAGGATTCTCAGGCTTCACTAGCTGTACCCTCGTAATGGAATTAAAACTGTCTTGCAGTGACTAAAATCTTCTAATCACACACTAAGTCTTCACAGGCTGAATTCCAATTCTTCTTTAGGTACTAAGTTCTCATCACTATGCCCTACCAACAACTGACTGAACTGAACTCTTAACAATTTTTCGCCTCTTGTTATACAGACTCAGATTGGAACCCACATAAAACATGTGTCACGTGTAAGAATGTGTGGTGCAGATCATAGAGAAAACAACTCTTCTGTTCTGTTAGTCCACTGCCCATCACTGGGCATGGCACGGACCATGCAGAAAACACTTCTTCCAATACCAAAAAATTAAAATGGCTGAGAGTGAGCAACTGCTAAGCAACACCTTTGGAGGCATCTCAAAAAGACAATGGAAGTCTGGTGTTCAACATGTGGAGACGATACAGCATGATTTTACAAAGAAAACTGCAAGGATACAATCTTGGAGAAAACTACAACTAACTTATGGAATGACAGTGATACAATGGTCTGTTCAGTTTCTGAGTTCACTCTGCAACACTCGTGAGTGTGGCTCTGTACCAAGTGACACAAATGGAACTGGTCAACAAGCAAATGACTACAGCTGACCAAACCCGCACTCCCCATCCTATTGCATGGCCTTTCTGATTGGATTGTACCCAAGCTTCACAAGGACAGGAACAAAGAAGCAATATAAATTTGCCCAAAACCATGTATGGTGAATTTTATTTCAACATGCTGAAACATCAGCTAAAGCCTTAACTTAATAAAACTGAAACCCTGACCAAAAATATTATCCTATCTAACAAAGTCTAAACTCACTTAATATAACTTCTGCCCAAACCAAGCAGCGAATTTTCCTGTACCATACTAGAACCCCAACTACATTATTAACCTAACCTAATCCATTAGACCTATATCAATTTGCTGTAACTTTTGCCCAAATTAAGTGCAGTAAATTTTCTTGTTCCATACTAAAGCCCTTGAAACTGAGAAGCAGAAATTAGCAAATTTTGTTGTATCATACTCAAATTAATTGTGTAACTTAATGAAACTACCTCACCTAACCTATCACTCAAAATCAAATGTCTTTCAGGATGAGTGTACCCCACTCTCTGCTCTGTTCGGATTTTGCACTCTCTACTAAAAAAAAATTGATACTAAAAGCAGTGCACCATATTATCAAAGCAAGAATGTCATAATGCATTTGTCACTATATTATAAACATATGCCTAAGTAAATGATACATCTTCCACAATCACTTTGTACTTACTGCCATATTGTACTCTTCTGTAACATATATATGAAACCGGAATCTCCCTCCTGCCCAGAACCCTTCATCAGGGGTAATAGTTAAATAAAAATCGTGTAGCAGATGTGGGTCTTCAAATCTGACTCTACAAGTACCTGGTAATGTTTGCTCCATTTCCTGAACCTGGTAAGAAAATTACATACTTGTTCTTAAAACAATAGCTGCTATTTACATAATGAATGGATATTGTGTCATTCTTGCATTGCTGCTGCAAGGACCAGTGCAGAACAAATAACGTGCACAGAGAAGAGGATCCTCTTCAGGTCATGAGTGCAGTGTCAGAGCTTACCATGATCATGGCTCAATCAAAACTGGACTGTATTCATTCAAGATGCAGGGAACTGCACTGCTTCACTCAAGTTATCACTGTGGCACTAAACACTGATTCACTTATAGAATCCTCGCTTCAACGTATACAAAAAGGACACAAAATGCCGATCATCTAAACGTATCCATTGTGAGGTTTCAGAAAAGCACAACAGAACACTGAAAGTCGCAGTGCTAGGGGCAGATTATTATGGCCCACCCCTTATGCAATCATTCATGCAATGTTTCAGAACTTCACCACTCTACTTATTAGTTGGCAGTACTAAGTATACTTTAAATTAAAGCTGATGCATTTTAGTTTAGAATTATACTCATTATTTATAAATGCAAATTATATGGCATACTCTATGGTTAACAAACACTCCATTCCAATATACAATCACTCACTTCCTTCACCAATAGCCTGTCCCGTATTGACACCCGCTTTCCCGGTTCTATAGTTGACGACCCACTGGGAGCGTCGTTTTCATTTTTCAGCTTTCTCGTTAATGTAATCATTCTATCAGGTTAAGTGTAAGTAAAAAAGAAAGGCTGGAATCTGCTGGTACTCATGAATTCTTTCTAATATTTGTAATGCATTAGACCGGTCGAAATCGTATAAAATGAGGGTAATGTAACAATTATTTGGAATTTCTCGTTATTCTGGAGAAAAATAACTACCCATCTTCATACACAATCTCCACTTCCCATCTTCTCTTCGTATCCACACATCAGGCAGACATGCATGAACGTGCATGAACTCCGTGTATTACCTACATCCACGGATTACTAACTTTAAAGAGGCAACGACTAAAGACTACAATTATAGAGAAAGTTCCATCAAGTGTAACAACCATTTTAACACGAATGAAACCTTTACATGTTTCGACGTTTATCGGCCATAATAGAAGGCGACCAGCGACAAACACGTCAAACGAAAGGGCTTCCAAGTACGATATGCGTCTGTTGTAGGAAAGGGGTATGCATAGGCCAACAGATAACCAAGGCATCGGCGTTAAAATCATAACAAGAATCTCACGCTAAACATGAACTCATATTGGTGAACACTAAATCTGGCAACAGAAAGTATAAGGGACAGAACAAAAAAGAAAATACATTTCATAACATAAGGGCATTACATGAACAACATACCTGTAAAAGCACTCCAAATGTGTAAACACTGGCCAGTGTACGGAGATATAGTAGACAGAAGGATGATTTTAAGACCCTATGCACCTGATACTGGCCACAATAGGCTGAAACATATAAGCTAATTTTAACTATCAAGGCTCAAACATCTAGAATCTAGAAGATGTGGGAGCCTTGACGTCCCACAAGTCTAATGTGCCTTCACAGCCTGTTGTAGGGATTGTCTAGAACCTAGAAAATCAGCTCACAGATGGCAATGAGGTTCAGACCTACATGCCAGCCACCGTTTACGCCCCAGGAAAACTCCTGTTAATCATTTCTATTAGGGGCTGAGTCAACCCCAGGGCCATAGTGTGGCTGGAATGATTAGGTCAATGGAAAAATCCAATTACCTCATCAGAAATCAAACCTGTGACCTTTGGGGTTGTAACGTAGTGCCTCAACCAACTACACTACCCCGTAGGCTGAAACATGTTGTACCTACAATCGTATGGTGTGTCTGTACCAGGAATGTGTCGAATTAGTAATAACAAACAATATCCATTTCAATAAATTTAAAATGTTGCCATGTGGTTATATGGGCCCTGGTGACATTTGTATTTCTTTACCGTTGGTTTGTGAATGTTTTGCATGGTGGCCTGATTTAAGTCCTCTTAGGACACCATATGCATATCATATATGTAAAGCATTTCCCTTGAAGTGTTGGTCTACACCAGGAGGAATAAGTAAAAGTTTAATATTAAAAGTTCTTACACTTCATGAAACGTACATTTACATTTATATAAAGTGCAAAGATTGAAGAAAATATCTCACAAAAATAGATAGCCAACTCAACTATAATGGCAGGCAAAATGATGAGAGAGGCATGAATATAGATGCAGCAACATCCAAATTCCACCCAGCAGTTACTTGAATTGCATGAGAATGAGAGGTTATACAAAATTAGTAATGATAATGGAGTTAGAGTAGTAAACTTGCCACATCCAAAACTCTTGACTGTCAAAAATATGATGTTCCACATCGTAACACCCATAAATTTATTTGGACATCTCCTGATGGGAAGACACACAATAGAATTGACCATATTTTGATACATAGGAGACGGAATTCAAGTATACTTGATGTTCGATTACCAAGGCAGCAGATTTTGATACTGGTCACTGCCTGGTGGTGGCAAAAATTATGGAAAGACAGATTGTTAGTAATCAAACATTGCACAGAATTCATATGGAGAGGTTCACTCTCAAGAAATTAAATGTGGTAAGGAGTTGTGCCATGTTGAGGTTCACAGCTTTGGAAATCTTAAGAAACAGAGGTGGATATTTATAAAGCTCGGGAAACTATTAGAGATAATATCAAAATTTCTGCCAAAAACAGTCTAGGATTTTATGAACTGAAGAAGCATAAGCCACGGCTGAATGAAGGATGCTCAAAATTATCAGACCAAAAGTAACAATCCAACAACGTAACAGCGGTTACATGGTCTAAGTAAAATAAATGCGATAATCTGCACAATATGAGATGTAAAAATATTATGCATTTCAGGAATAAAAAGAGGGAATATCTGAAATATAAAATTGATGACCTTGCAACAAACAGTAAGAACAAGAACATCAGGGTCCTGTATAAAGGAATAAATAACTTCAAGACGGGTTACCAACCTAGAAGTAACTTAGTGAAGGATGAGAATGGTGATGTGCTTGCAGATCCCCACAACATTTTGAAAAGGTGGAAGAAGTACTTCTCTCAGTTATGGAATGTACATAGGGTCAGTGATGTTAGGCAGATATAAATACATATAGCTGAGCCATTAGTACCTGATCCTATCCCTTTTGAGGTAGAAACTGCCACTGAAAAGTTGAAAAGGTATAAATCGCCAGGTAGTGATCAAATTCCAGCAGAACTTATTCAAGCAGGAGGTGAAATATTATGTTCTAAGATCCATAAGCTAATTAATTCTATTTGGAATAAGGAAAATTGCCTGATCAGGCAAGGAGTCAATTTTCATACCAGTTCATAAGAAATGGCTGATAAAAGAGTTCATAGGCTGCTCAGTAAACAGCTACAATACTTAACACATAGATGTGGATCTGTGCTCAGAGACTATCTCAAATCCCATAAGAGGTTCTTTATTCTGAATTATCACTTTTATAAGACCGACTACTTCTCAGGAAGAAAAGGTATTCCCTGGAACCATGTAAACCTATGCTATATGTGCGATATGTACATATGACAAAGTAGAAGCCTATTCACAAGACAAACCCAGTCTCTCATCAGAGATTATGTTACTATGACTGCAAGAGTTCAGTTGCAAAGAGAGAGAGCGAGAGAGAGAGATCTGGTCCTGATCCTCCAGGGGCTTGGTGCCGAGATGGACTGCTGGTAAACTGCCAGTCATAAAGTAATTCTGACTGTGACACAGAAAATATAAGTTAAGGCATAATCTGCTACACAAGTCTTCATTGACAGGAAACCTCTGTATACCTTGTATAAATGTTAGTATAGTGCAGTGAAAAAGGATGCATAGAGTCCATAGTGGCCTGGGTGTCATATGACAGCGCTGATATACTCATGCTGAAACTACAGTACAACAAATATTGTGCCTACACAGAAAGACCGACCCCTCCTTTATCGAAGAGGAGGCCCCATTTCGAAACAAGTACATGTCTAGGAGAAAATAAAAATCCTGGTCATGGAATTTGAGGGAAGCCAGGAATGATTGTGCTGGCAAAGACCAACAGCAATTTAACCAATTAACTGCTGCAGTTGTGTCATTATGAGCTGTTGCTGTCAGAAGCTGGTAGCTGCTACCCATCAACGGCAGTGAAGATGTGACTATGGACACTAGTGTGTGTGTAAGAGTGTACTGTAAAGTGTAGTCATGCACTGTATCAAAGAGTCCAATAATACCAGTCATCAGTCCAAAACTCGTCTATAGTTACTTTCCATACATGTGAAATTTTATCATGGAAAAAGCTCATATTAATCAGCTGTATACACATAGCAGAAGTTCATTTTAACAATTGTTACCTTTGCCTGATGAAGGATTTATGCATCATCCATGTAACTTTTATACTAATTTATTGAAACATAGGCACATTTTGTGAGACATTTCACAAACATATTCTTTAAAATTAATGACCAACAAAGTGCAGCTTGCACTTCAACAGTATTGCTAACAATCTGATACGGAATGTCAGTGCTGATGTCACACGATCACAATATCACTTATCACACATTGATTTGGCAAATAGCACAATTAAAAAAGTACCGATTTATTTATATAAAACAGCGACAGACCTAGAATTTGCTGTACTCCACACACACATTAAATGTAAACAAATTACACACACAAAACTACATATATCCAAACATACACTTAAGAATCCCTTTAAATTTTAAGTACAGTTATGATAAATACTAAAATTACCTATGAGGCAGGTACAACCAAAAATAAAACTACAGAGAAAATTGGACAGAGTTCAGCTACAGTGAATCTTCCAAAGAGAAAAAGCCTGACCCTAGATATAAGCAATATAGCAATGGTGAAAAGTAAACATTTGTTTGCAAAACCTTATTTTAGAAACTGTATTAAAAGCCAATCTCTTGCCTGGGTTCCTGAATTTCTAAATTTGGAAATGGTATCTACTATGAGAATGTAGACAGACAGACTGTTCAAATTCATGACTAATAAAGCAGCTGTTTTTAAGATAATGTTCTCAATATTTTAATGTCCCATGCAAATATCACCTTTTTTCTAGAAATTTCCCCGACATACCTTCTATTTGCAGCTAGATTCTATCCTCATCATGTCTTCTTCATTTATATCAAGCAAAGAGATCAAACAGAACTGAATAGTAGTTCAGGTACAGACTTTATTTTGCAAGAAAAGAAATGCTCTCGGTTAGGGATTGTACGTTTACTTCGGCTACTGAAAGAACCAGTACATTTGACCAAAATTGTTACTAAATAAGATCAAGAAATATTAATAATAATTTTTGTCAAACACTAAACACAAGCTGAAGAGTATGGTCTTCTGGGTCATAAGAGAGAGAACTAAATGGTGTTACAACCCAGAAGACCACACTCTTCTTGCGCACAGCTGTGAGAACCTCAAATCCAGTAATAAACACAAACTGTTTTATAATTACTTGTCCAATACAACTTTCTTTAGAAGAAGTAAAGAGGAAATTCTTATGAAGCAAACTCACAAGTTCTGAAAATCTTCATAATTTGTAAGACATATAAAGGCCCTTTGCTTCAAACTTCTCACAAACCTGAAATATTGTGCCTGCCCCTTGATGCTGCCCTTCAAGGCCAATGATGAAGGAACTCTTCACAATGCAAATTACATTAAACACACTGTCATATAAAGATAATTTATTAAAAAAGAACGATGTAATACTCTTTTTATGACTGATGGTTTCTTTAGAAAAATGACACATCATTTTAACACTCTGAAATATAACAAAACTTTATCATCACTTCTTGCATGGTAAAATAAATGTGCATATTTTTGATAAAGTGTGCAGCAAAGTGTAATACAGAATGCTAAATAATGTAAATGCAATATTTTTCTTTTCCACATTCTCTTAACCACACCAATTACTTCCCCCTTTTCACCAATTAAGTGCAGATGCAACTTCCAGAAGAACTGCCAAATTGGAGGTGTAATGGCAATGAGCAGAATGATTAGTGCTGATTAGAAACACACATGAACAACATCCATACACTGGTTGTGATTCCAATCCATGACTCTAGCATTTTCTTTGTATAAGGAATTACATGAACATTAACCTATATGGCCAATTGGACAAACGCTTCACAGGATATTTGGAAAAAAAGAAATAATACTCAGAATACCTGAGTTACAGTATTTCAGGCAACTTCATGTCATTCTACTTGAGACTGAAGATGATTACGGCCAAGAAGACTGGAAAATGAATCGTTCCTAAAGCCCTATACCTACATGTATCAGTAATGCGAATCACTACTGTTTCAAAAGTCGGATTACTTCACAAGAACCATTAAAAATTTAACCAAATCTTAAGAGTTATATTTGTCAAATGCTAACTGAACTGAAATAAAACCACATAGTTCATAACTGATTCCCAGATTAGATTTCACATTGCTGTTTTACATAAAGAGGTTGAACAGAAGCCAATGAAATTGGAGAAATATAACAGTGACTTGGTCACTGTTATATTTGGTTATATTT